ATATTAGCATAATCTAACACAGGCAGCGTACAGGCCTCCCACTCACCACTGTCTGCGTTGACCCTTGACCCATGTTGCTTCTCAGATGCTGACTGGATATCTGCTCTGCTCGCATCAGATACTCTGCAGTCTTTTTCTTCACGGCCTCTCGCCGCGTGGGACTGGGCTCACCTGAAAGAGGTGAGCAAGTTCGGTGAGTTTGTCTACACAAAGCAGATTTTAAAGTGCAGAGTTAAACGTTTCTGTTCCGGCGATTGTTTACTGACACAAACATTTGTTTTTTAGTGACAAGCTTTGAAATACAAAACTGAGAGGGACGGTTTAGCTTGTCCCCATCCATATTGGGTTGTGAAGTAAGAGTGCCAAACTAAAAGTCAATTTCTACATATCAAATAATGATGATCAAATAAATACATATGCTGATTTTTTTTATTCAGCATGTGTAGTTAAGTTAAAAGCAGATTAGGATGTAGCTATAAAAACAGAATAAGAGCATTGTGTTTGATTTTCACAGTACTGCATCAGCATTTTAACTTCTTCTGATCTTCATTTTGAAGCACAGCACAGTTTCCCCGCTCTTCTCCACACTGACCTTGCACTCCTTGCAGCAGCAGGTCCACTCCGCTGCGATAGCAGGAGAAGGCTGCTTGGAAGTCCTGCTCCTTCTCTTTTTGTTCAGCCAAACAAATGAGCTCACTGGCTCCGTCTAAGTAATCTGACTTCACGTCTCTCTGGTTGCCAGCAGCGGCTTTCTTCAGGCTGCCGGAGAAGAGCGGCGTTCGGCCTGGCCAGCTGACCTCTGGGTTTGGGGCTGAGGAGGCAGGAACCGGGGCAGGAGATGAGGTGCGAGGTTCGTGCAGAGAGGGCAAGCGAGGGCTGCAGCTGCTGCTAATGTTGGTGGCTCCCCCCTGTGGCTGGTTTGGGGAGGTGCTGCCTGAGGCCATGCCATCATCCAGCCCAGTTAGAGAGTCTGAATCCACAGCCAGGGAGGTCAGGTCGCTGTCGCTAGATGGGCCTGAGGGAGGAAATAGGGGTCATATATAGACATCATAACAAGCCAATAGTTGAACAGAAGATTGCAGAGGGTTTTTTTGTCATTATGTTTATTTTTGTTTTTTATGTTTGAAGAAACCTTACCTCCATACTCAGAAGTGAGAGTCAAATCATCTGCACCACTTAGGTCTCTTTGCACTGAAAAACATGTTCAAAGTGTCTGAGCTGTCGAGGATGAACAGTTCATATAAATGAAGAGAGAGACCGAGTCAGAGAGAGAGGGTTAATGTGTGTGAGCGTACCATCAGAGCTGCAGTCCGATAAACTGTCTGCCAGGAAGTCAGAAAATGGCTCCGCTGGTCCGATGAGCTCTGAACCGTCGTGCACCTCGCCACCCTTGTAAAGAATTAAAAAAAACATTGGGTTCAGTTGTCTGTCTGAGAATATGTTTTTTTTTTTTCTTTTGAATATGTATGTTTGTGTACCTTGAAGAAATCTTGTATGTGCTCACTGCTGTAGAGAGCAGGGATATTTGCAGAGAACTGAAGGAGATCCTCAGAGCACTGTCTCCTCTCCTCCACTACTGAGTCATCAAAACGACCTGCACATTGCATACATGGAGAGGCAGATCAATTAGAAGGTAGTGCTAGATGACTGAACAATAACACTGAGCTGCCACCAGGAGGCAGAGTCATCACTCCTCCATTTATTCAGGATCAGGATTTATAGTTGCTGTTGGTGTCTCACACTAACGAGGAGGTATCTGAAGGTACCAGATGACCCAAACATTTTCAATCAATCAAAGATAAACATGTTGTCTCTTTTTTTTTTTTTTTTTTGGTTAAAATATTTGACACAAGAGGAATCAGAGGGTTGGTTTCTTACCAAAGACTTTGGCCCTGGCGAAGGGAGGGAACAGCTCCGACTGGCTACATATATTCTTGTGCAGCTGCCAGAGGTTTTGATGAAGCTTGCGGAAATCACTATACCTCTTCCACACTGTTATCTACAGGAAGCGAGAGAGAGGAGAAATGGATGAAGACTGATAGGAGAGTGTAATGGAGAATCAATACTTTTACATTTTGTAACTTGACTTTATACCCGTCTGTTAAAAATTATTGTTATAACTTTTTGAAGTATGTAAATCATGAAAACATTTATTTTCTTGTTAAAGAAAAAAACAATTTGAAAGACTTCCAACTAAAACCACAACAACAACATTCAAAGGAAAATCCACTATGCTCCAAAGCGAACACAAACTAACTAACACATACAACAACTTCATTTTATACCGATATAAGTTGTAACATTCACACACCAACCTTAACAAAGCGCTTCCTGTCGGATAAAGCAAAAACTTTCTCATAATGCTGAGATTCCAGTGCGCTTTGCTAAAATCCTGGCCAGCCAGTCACTATGAGAATAGTGGACTGAGCTCCCAAACAACTGTTCAATAAGGGAGGTATGCGTGCGTTTCCAGACAGTAATTGACATCATGCCTGCTGCATTTGCGCTTGGTTACAGGCTGGACTGCATTCCTCAGTGTGGAACAGAGTATGCATGTGTGTTTACCAGTATGTTAATCGAAGTTTCATGGGAAAATAGAGAAGTCAAATGTGCAGTTACATTTTCTTTAATAATAATAATTTCACTACCCATGTCACCATTCACTCGTATTTTTTTTTTTTTTTTGCAAAATTTTATTTAGAAAAATTAAAATTTTGAAAGGTTATTTGATTTTGTAACAGAAGGCCCCAACCAATTAAAATAAAAGCGTAGAAGTGCTTATATTCCAACAAGCTAAAAACAGAAATGAAAAAATAAATCTCAAGTATTCCAGCCAACCCCTACTTTGCATAAGAGTCACTGTATATGATACACAATGACTGACTCCTTACCTCCTGGACATCCTCTGGGCTCTTCCTGGAGATTATCTGTGTGGCAAAGAGAGACGATTTGGTATATTGTATGTCGGTGATTCCTCTCTAAAAGTACAAGATTTCAGTGTTGGTTTAGCTGCAAGGAATTTCTAGTGCTGCTGACACATGAATGAGCAAGGACACAGCTCTGAGAGTGACAATGAGTGTATTATTATAGTGAATGACGGAAGCCTTCAGAGTAGAAACGAGACATCACCAACAATCAAAATAAGCAGGGTGGCAGGCAGACAACTTCAAAATAAAGCACTACAAGTAAAGCCATGTGTCTGATACGGCAAAGGAATTCACTTGGGGTTTTATCTCCCTATATAATCTACCTTAACTTGAAATATTTTCAGTATAAAACAGCACTTTGTTGTTGTTGTTTTTTTATTTTTTTTTATTTCTTGTCTTGTGCTGTCAAACTGTCCTGTCTACTTTTGTCTGTGCATTGTCCATTTCTGTACTCTAAAACTGGATGACACATCTCAGGGGGTTATTCCTTGTAAAGAATTTCAAAACTACTTTGGGAGACATAAATGGGATTTAAACCACTGTCACACAGATCTTGCTAAGTCATAGAGTAAATCCAGGCTTTGACACATTTCCATTGTTGTTTAGACAGTTGTGAAAGCCATGATCCTGTACAACACGTATTGCACACATGTTAGGGTATGTTTCTGTGAAAGTCGCTTCAAAATGAAGTTTAAATGTGATTTTAATGTGTGTGTGTGTATATATATATATATATATATATATATATAAAAATATATGTTTAATGTGTTTATTGTTTGAGCCTGTGAGATTTTCTGTCACTGTTGGGACAGACTTTATCTAATCTAATCTAATCTAATCTAATCTAATCTAATCTAACATAATGTTCATTTATCACCATCTTCTAACAATAACAATGCTAGCTCGTTAGCTCACTGTTAATACATCGTTTATAGAGGATTCAATGCTAATCTAAATTACCAGCGTTAGATAAGAAAACAGCTATTTTCAGACAGCCATTTGAAGGTGTTTTTCCTGCTACAACTTCGGTGTTAACCAGAGCAGTTATCATTGTCTAATAAGACTAAGTGTTGTTTACATCATATTAGCTCAAGCTGGATAGCTAGCGAGCTAATAACACATAGCATTAGCCTTGCTGTCAAGAGTGCCCGTCTCCCCTCTTTACTTACCCTTGCGGTGACTTTGTAGACTGTGTAGCCTTTCTGATGCTTTTTGGGATCTGTGACAGTATAAAACCGAGCAAATTCTCCTCTGTCCCGCTGCGATATCATTCTGATAATGACAACATTGCCAAAGCTACCAGCCGGCTAGCCGTACACATTCATTCCCTGGTAGCAGAAGCAGTCAGGCAAATATGTTAGAGCGCCCCCCTGTGGAAGTACTTCAAAACTACATGCACTACAATTTACATCCTCTCTTTGAAGAATTGTTACAACATCAGACGAATATGTCATTCTGGATATACTTTATTAAGCAAGATGTATCAAATGATTGGCTTTTTCCAACTATTATAACAAAATAAGGAATAAGGCTCATAGTGCATGTAAACAACACAACAGAGGGACAGATAAGTGCGTACGTGCAAGTGTCAAAAATGCATACATAATCATTGCATATATTGACAGAATGAGGAAAATTGAATTGTGTATCTGGTTGCATATATAACAGGTTTAAATAAAATCATTATAAATGTCTAACTTTTATTTAGCTGCTTTAATATTAAGGTGTATAGTGCTAAAGTTGTTCAGGAATTAATTTGACCTTAGTCTAAATAATGTAGGTAAACTACTAATCTAAACTGAGAGTGCAGTAGTTTGGTGAAGCTTTTTGTGCCTCTATAAAACAGACTTAACAGTTCACCAACAATGTACATATGGGTCATCATTAAAATGACAGTTGCATTTGTTGTCCAATAATGAATATCAAAGAGGTAAGATATGCTAAAACAGCGTCAATCAAAACAAAGAACATTCTACATCACATGTCTAAGCTGAATATTTAAGTGGATAAAGTAGAGAACTAAAATGTATCACCCGTGCCTCTTTAACAAGATCGGGATGGCGTGGCTCTGTTGTTTATTCAATCATCTACATTATTGCAATTAAGAAAAGTAGGATTCCTGCTGCGCTCATGATCCAGGTAGTGCAGAGTCTGCTTGACCTATTGGTGTTCTGACAAATGACAGTTGGTGTGGTCTTCATGTCTCTGATAATTCCATTTGTATCAAATGAGAAGTTACTCTGTGAACAAGAAAAATTACACAAATAAGCAAACTGTATAGCAGAAAAGACAAATTACACTTTGTGTTCATTTTCATTAGATCAATACATTAACACTTGATACTGAAACTAGAGGTAAATGGAGTGGACATGTGAAAAGCAGGAAACAAGGCTATAAAAGCCAAAATACACTTCAACATAAAGAACCAAAGCAGAAATATAAGAGGCAGAATTGAGAGACTGAAAAGAAAAGACACATTTAAAGTGAACTCTTGAAGTCCAAACAGTGTGTCTGAGATTATCTTTGTAAAATACAGATTGCTAATGAACAAAACAGCACACAGGAATCAGCTATTCTTAAAGTATCGAGGTTCTATGCTCAATATAAATAGTAAAAAAAGATGTCTAAACTATATGTCTACTCTGTAAAGCTATAGCTTAAGGACAGGTGATTAACCTTGTGAAGAACTCACTTGAAACAATGACAGAGGAACATGAAGGCCTTTAGAAAAATAAACTCCACCAAAAGATATTGATTGTTCATATTGATTTAAAGGAGAAATGAAATGGCAAAATTGAGACTTTTACACACCTCGACATCCGAGACCAACTGGAGTTGTGGTACAGTCTTTAGCAAATGCTCATACTCAACAATTTCCTCCTCGCTTAAAGTTGTGGTTCCCTGAATCATCCTGTGAGAAAACCACAAAGAGCTTATTAAAACCTCAGCGAGACACATCTGCATGCAAGTTTATTCATACTGAATGAAACCTGTACGTTGTTGGTTAAACCAGGAAAGCATCAGGTCTTACTGGTTGCTGGTGCTCAGTGATGGATGCAGTGTATTTGGGTGGCTGATGCATGAGCTGATCTTGATTGCAGGGTAATAGAGGAGGAAGGCCAGACACATTTCATCAGTTGTTCCTAGCCCCATCTAAGGGAAGAACATGTGGAACATGGTAGATATTAACACTTATACATGCAGGTGCACTGATCTTACTGTACAGTATTTACCCACTCTAGTGGTCTTGGTGCGGGTGCTCGTACTGTAGGTGCACTCCACTAAGATCTCATCGCCCTGTAATGTGGAGACAGGTAACATGTAGTTTTTCATTTTAGTGTAAAAGAAATAAGCATTCGAATTAGGCATGGACTGAATGGAAACTCACCGACTTGATGGTCTTTGTGCTTCCCAAAGTGATTATCTCCTGATACTCAAAGTTGTAGTTTTCATCCAAAGCCAAGAAGTCTATCTGCACTCCATCTCTTCAGAGAACAAGAAGTATAAAAGATGAACCATTTATATTAGAAAAAAAGGTGCAATCTATAATAATCAAGAAACCTCTATTCAAAACAACAGGATTTCATTCCAAAACAACACTTCCCTCAAGTTATTATTTATGTTCCAGTTACCAGTTGTGACTGAGACTTTACATAAAATCATCAAATATAAACCTCTTCTCAAACCAGCTTCGTCATTGACATTGTCATTCTTACCTATAGTGACCAACTCTGACTTTCCTCCCAGCCAAGTGAGTGTGCAGCATCACAGCGAACACATGAAGGTCAGGAAGAGGATTCAAAAGCTATGGGTGCAAAGTAAAGTAAACACAGTCATTAACAATAACATAGCTACCTGTTAGATACTGTTGCAGTATGGAATTTGGACTGAACCACTACAGACCTGAGAGAAGACACTGGTGTTACACACGCCGTAGGTGTGGAAATTAGTGGCTTTTGGGGGTATTATATACTCCATGTTCGTAAATTGCAGCACACCTGTAGTCAAGGTGGCCCCATCATACTGCCGGAGCTGGTCTGTATAATACAGTTTTAGTCCTGAGCTGTCTGTCCTTCCTATACACATAGAACACGAGATAAAACAATACATATTGATCATGAATGAATAGATTACAGAGTGAACAAAATAACAGATAAGGTAAAATACTTTGAATATACATCACCAATTCCTAAAAAAATGGGATGTTGTGTAAAATTTGTGAGAGCTTTTTGTTGTTCAAGTGACAAGTGTTTTCATGTCGGCCCAATGTCTGAGTGTTGTGGAGAATAAGAAGTCATGGATGAATTTGATGCTGTAAAAAGCTGCTTATCTGTTGTTCCATTTGGTTGAAATATCCAGGGGATTTTTTTTGTCTCTGCCTGTTGATAAGACCCCTTGTCAAAAGGGAATGAACCGGACTATATAAACCTCAATATTCCTTTGATATCATGTGAACTGATAAAGTCAAAGTCCCTTTGGCAAAACTGTGACAGACTTATCGTTGCATAAAAAAGTCTAATCTGTAAATGATGTATGTATTTTATGTAATATCACAATTCTGGAATATATACAGTACGATGTATTTGGATCAACAGTATTAACCTTTTACTCCATTTGGATTATTGTAGTGGATTTCCAGCCTGTAAAAAATGTCACTCTCCTCCCCTCCAATAGGCAACCCCACATTTTCTGGAAGCGCGAACACCTGAGGTTACAGAAAAATGAATTTTGGATCAACCTAAACATGCACCGAACTATATAAATACTAAAGCACACAGACTGGAGTATAGATCAAAGAATCAGCGATGGATGCATAAATGTCCCTCACCCCTCCTCCTACTGCCCACGAGGCCACAGTTTGGAAGCAGGCGTCACCAATGTCGCCAATGAAGCACGGGTTGTCATACGGTTCTGTCACAAAGGAGGGGCAGCTGTACAGCAGCATGTGGTGAACGATGTCAGGGTGCTCAATCTCTGGTTCAACCTGAGAACAAGTCAGAAGAGGTTTGGTACAAGAATTGTGAACAAAGGTTAAAATTGAAAAATTGAAGTTTGATCCAAAGGCAACTGGACTGATTGAAGATTTGGGTGACTTGTTTTTCATTTAAAACCCTGATTTACTCAAAAGCTGACCATAGTATTTCTAGCAAGCGAAAAGCTGTTTTTAAATGCCGATTTTGATTACAGGTAGAGTTGTTTTAATACCCGTACTAGTATTGATATAAGCCTCAGATTCTGCCTTAAATGCTGTATCAGGTCACAAGCAAGTAGGCTAGTACACCAGTTAATTAAACCTGCTGGACTACATGCCCGGGGGCGACCAAAAAGGACCATAACTTTGAACAAGATGTCGGAGCAGTATTGGGGAGAGTAATGTTATCTGGACTTCTCTAGTTAAATGTGGCGGAAGAGAGATGACAAATAAATAAATGATACTTACCAGATATATGTGATGTTTTTTAATTAAGGTTGGAAGCTTCATGACCTTGCAGTGGTAGTAGGTATGATTTTGTGGGACAGAGATCTGCGATGAAAATAAAGGTAAAAAAATGTCATTTGGATGACTACAGTACTCAAACCAGAACATGTTATACAATTGCAATTATCATCCAAACTCCACACAGTAAAAGTTCTCCTGTAAGATATTCTAAAGTAATAGAAAAACAAAACAGACTCATCAAATGTTCTCATTCTTCCCTGATAGGAAATGTGTACATACATTATCCACCCTGGCCATGAAGTAGTTGGGGCCTATTATCGTTGACTTGGGCACGTAGTTCAGCAGGTTGACTTCCTTGGTTCCTCTACGGGATGCGTGATATTTGATGTCATCTGTTGTTCCATACGCATAGATCACTTTAGCAGCCTGAGCCTGGAGAAGAGAATTTTTTTTTATAATAGTGCACCATTTTTAAAGTTATATATATAACAATTCAAGTAATAACCGGAGACAGTTTCATGTTCCTACTTTGCAGATTGCTGAACAACCATAATAGTCAAAACATGTGGCAGGTTTTATTACCAAAACCATATAGTATTTCAGGTGTTCAATGTAAAACTAAATCTTGTGCGCCCCTCTTTGTTGTTGCCATTGTCTTCACACCTGAAAACACCCATTTCACAGCAATGTACAGGGACTGTCAGGGGAACCAAACAAAAGACCGTCAATAGCAGTGATAACATGGGGACAGGCAGGAAACTTGAGCTTTGCAGAAAGAATAAGAGCAACAGTACAAAAGAATATAGCATTACCAATAATGAGTCACATAAAGAAGAAAATGCATGAAGTGTTCAGTTCTTTTCAAGCTCCATGGTGTTACGCAAACAGTGTTAGAGTGCGTAGTCATGTAATTAACGGTACGCATTGGCATGGCATTGTTATCATGGCAACAGCAGCTTCCTAGATGATGTTATCTTTTCTGTACATTTAAAAAGCAGCCTGACATCAAAACCTTTGACATTTTGGTTTACATTATAGAGTGACAGAATTGTGTCACTCATTCAGGGAGCAGTAAATAGTCTTAAAATAAAAGATGATCAAAACTTAATAAGCCTGTATTGGTAATAGATTTACAACTGAGTAATATTCTGATAGTTACAGTGGTAACTCTAGTTTCTCCCTTTTTTTAAACCCTTTTCCTTAAATCACAGACCTAAAATTGATATTTTTAGATTTAGATAAAGGCTTACTTCATAAAGTTATTTTGTTTTTAATCTGAAAATGGGGTTGACATTTGTTTTGAACTTGTCATTTGAAGTTAGTTTAGTTTAGAAAAAAAAAGATTTGAAAACCTTTCAAGTTGTTTTTATTAAAAACAGTTGATATTGGACTTTCAACTTCACTTTTTACTAAAGCAAAGGCTGTTTTACTTTTCAATACATTTGTACTCAAAACAGATGATTACTTTTTTTTACTTTAAACTGTTATTTTTTATTAATTTTTACTTAAATTAAAGTTCACATTATAACCTCTTCCTCATTTTACATTCTTTCTCTTTTTTACTTTTTAGCTTGCAATTTTTTAAAAGTCGAAATGACACTTGTAATATGCTGCAGGTGCTTCACATCTCTGTATCTCCTACCACTCTTGTAGAATACACTTTCAAAAACTACAAGTGAATTTCTTACAGTGATGTGGAAGTCTTGCTCATCACACGACTGAATTGCCCTCTTAAAGGTCATGATGGTTTGACCTTCACTTTCAATTACGGAGAGGAGAGTGTAGTTCTGCTGCTCGTCCACCAAAGGCATGGAGTTCCCAGTGGCATGATAGTCCTTTGGACAAAAGACAGAAACTTTCAGTATGCTTGATATTTTCTTTTTTGAACATGGAGGGTATATTCAAACATTTCTTAGAATGGAGCAAATGTAAAAAAAAAAATTAAAAAAACTTACTTGGAAGTAGCTTCCACTTGGTCCTAGTCCGCCCATGACGATATCTGCTCCTTGCATTCCTCCATTCGGGCTTAAACCAAAGCCCACCCAGCCTGTAGTGTTGACCACCAGTTTGAATGTTATGTCCCCTTGCAGGCTATCAAAGCCCCACTTCAAGCAGACCAAACGGTTCTGGTCTAGGTACTCCATGAAGGGTAAGTTAGGGTCTGACGCTTCCGCTCCTACTGTCCAGAAAATAACCAGATAGAGGAAAGGTTGAAGAGAGCGCATGTTGTTTGTGTGACGGTGGAGATCTTCAAACTGAGCTTACTGTGTGAGGAGCTGTCTGATACCCTACCTGCCTCTTTCCCTCCCACCCTGCTACGACACACCTGTGTTGCTAGATGAACTGAAGTGATACAGGCAGAGTACTCACTCCTTTAGAATTTTCACTTGTGAAGCAACCAATACCGTGGATCCTCTTTTATTTTATGCTAAATTTCAAGATACATTAAAATGTGCAGATTTTTTCTAAGAAATTGAGAGTGTTAAATCTGCAGTCTCACTGTCTTTGATGTGAGACTCTCTCTCCAAAAGCTCAGGTGGCCTGCGGACTTCACCTACTAACAGTTAACTGTATCCCCCTCTCAGCCCATTGATAACAACCCGTTCCACCGGTTCTTTCCCACTGACAGAAAAGAGAGACTGCTGCTGGACTCAGGTGTTTGATATATGAGTACGTGACGAGAAGGGATCAGGAATGAGGTTTTATCTCTCAATTTGGCCAAATTCAAGTTTTTCAGTGTATGGACTCTGGACAAAATGGGCTAAATACTTATTTGTCTCTGTTACTTTCAAACTGTCTCAAATATCAAATGCTTCACAAATGTTATCTCATAGCAATGTGAATGTTGTGATCACTCTTATGGGGCTGTATTCAGATGTTTAGCGGTTTAACACTAACAGAGTTATTTCTGACCATTGTTTTTGATTGGATAAGAGGTATTCCAAGAGCGCTGAGTACAACAGCATTTATAATTCTAACTACATTACTCCACCTCAGGAGTTCTGACATTCATTTACATCATAGCAGTAGGTCTTTCTCTAGCTTGTATGCTCATTATGCACCAAAACAACTGGACTGACCCTTGTTTCACTGGTTGCACAATAAATGGAATCACATGTAGACTATTAATTATTTTTTGCTGATTATTCTGTTTACAACTAAGTGGTGCTTGGAGAACTGTTAAAACAGCTTCGCAATCAATGCTGTGCTTTTACATCAAATATCAACACTGCTGTGAATTTCATTCACCCAACAGCAGCACTCCCTCTTGCGTGACATCGCTAAATCACCTTCAATGCTGCACACTCTTTCTGCCTTACATTTCAACAACACACTTACTTTTAAAAGAACACTGAAATGCCATTACATTTTCTTTTTTAGTATTTGCTAAGTATCATTTCATTTAATCAAAAAAAAAACTTTATTAGGGCACTAAGAAGAAATATTTAAGTAAGTTATCCTTGAAGATTAAGACAAAGGAAACGCATTTATGAATATTGTATCATTACTGAAAGGTTATAAGTAACTGTGTTTTGATATGATTTCGAAAAATTGGGCCATCAATAACACGTTTGATATTCAAGAACAGTGAATGGCACATTAATGTAACAGCAGGCTGACTCCAGCAGAGGCCGACTTGCCCACAAGAAAGACATTCAGGGTCCCTCCCTTTCATCTGTTGAGTCAGATGTGTACCTTCAACTTTCATACCATAGAAGCTGCCCTTAGATAATAATAATCATCATAATAAGCTACACCGGAACTTGAACTAGGTTATGACTTGGTCTCTGTAGCCTATTAAAAAAAAAACATGATGTCATCGTATTTTGTCTATCCTTGCAAAATACCTCTAAAAAAAAAAAAAAATACAGTTATGTAAAAAAGAAAATATTATTTAAATTTGAATGGCTGCTATAGTGTTGCACATTTACAATTTGACTGACATATCCTATTTCAATAACTTATTAGGCCTATGTTATTTTAAAAAAGTTGGGTTTTTTTTTAGCTATAAATATACAGGCTACGTAAAAGGTCTTCATGATATACGTTTAATAAATAAGTTTACTTGAAGTGAGCCCGTTTCTAAACTGTCATATTTGTTTAACGTAAGTCATGTCTTGTCGGTAGCGAGACTACCTTTCCGGTTTGTCTCGGCGGTGCAGGTCACTCCCTCCGTGCTGACAGCAGCTCAATACGCGGTCAAAACTTACAGTCTTACCGAACTCGTCTGTTCCTACCTACCGCTTGTTTTGTTTTTTCCATTTTCCTGAGGGTTTTGAGCGTTATAGTGGTTTTAGTAACGTGTTAAAGTCGTCGGAGTTGTTGCTGTCTACCAGCAGGAATAACCGCGTAGATCTTGGCTTTTAGTTGAAGGCAGTGTGGAGGGGGGGAAATGTCCAGCTGAGGACTGAAACTCCTGAAAACCACAGGGCCTCTGTTTTAATGATACATCAATGCTTCGATAATGGCGGTAAAGGTAAGTCAAACTACTCTGCTGTGCCATTTTAACGTCAACCGAGCGTATGACTTCCTTCAATTTCCCCTGACACTTGTATCCATTTTACGAATAGTACGTGTTGGTGTAGTTGTAGAGTTTCACAGTCAGCCAACTCGATAAGCTACCGATTTAAATCCAAAAAAACCCATTTAATACTGTTTTTAACAGCGTGAAATGGCCACACGAGACTTGTTTTTGCCTTCAGATTATGTAAAGCCTGTGTTTTTTGTTTTTTTTGTGTACATGGAAAATGTGCCTCATAAGAAAGTGTCTTGTGACATTTTACTACCTTTCCAGTGCGGGTCATTGTACCTCCGTGGAATGCTGGGAAATGTAGTCTTTTGCGTGCGTTTAGTATTTAATTCAGTCTGTACAGAATAATTGTGAATTAGAGATATAATTGCAAGTCTATATCATTGACAACATTATATATCTATTATTGACACAGTTGGCTTTAATATAATTCACACAGTTATTTGAGTGACCAAGCATGAAGTTTAATAGCAGCACATGAATATTTCTACAGGAAATAGGTTTGTGATTGCAGTAGGGCAAAGGGTTTTCCATTGATGTTTAACATACCCGGAAGAAATGCTTTATGACAAATACAAACACTTGCACCAATTTTGTGTTGTTTTTTTTTCATAGAAGAAAATATAGATATCATGTTTATCATGTATCTAGTTAAAGCTTGGTAGCTTCTAACTAGCTGCTTTGTCAAAAAGTTTGTTGGTAAGAATTATTAAAGTTGGATTTCAGGTAGGCACAGAAGACTTTTGGAGTGTGCAGCTTTCCTAGTCAAAGCAGCTTGTGAAATGAGCATAATTTAGACCCTTTTCGATTGAAGCTTATTTACATCTAAGTAAGACGTATACAAGACTCATCATTCTGTCATGCAGACTTAGTAACATAAACAAAGTACTTTACACTACAAACAAATAACATCTGTGTCAGCAGAGCTGTGGTAAGAAACATGCCAGAGTTCCCGTTAAAAAAACAACCATCCAACTTCCTTAAGTCCTGGGAGGTGGCATGCCGACACTAAAAATAGATGATTGTTCATGGGGGAACAAATGGCCTTGTTGTCAATGTCATTGGTTAATTAACTTGTTAGTTAAATACTCAAACACAGTGAATTTGATGCTGTTTTGACATGGCATGCAGGACTGGCAAGGCTCATGCAGCTCATTTGAATAGTCATATTTATGAAAAGATGATAGTTGTAAGGTTTGTTAATTACAATGAAAAGTGAAGCCATATTTGTTTCCCCTCTCTAACCTTGCATGTATTTAGTGTGTTTGTGTGCATGTTTGTTTCTGGGCGACCGATGTTGAGGGCAGTAGATGTGGGTCAGTGTACGATGAACTGCAGGTGGTTGTATTAAAGTGAATCAGGTGACATGATGATTCTGGCCTTGTTTTTGGTTAATACTGGTCCCAAATAAAGAGTCAGCCTAACATGGCCTGAATAACTAGTCCGTCCTGTTTCCCTGAGCCTTTGTTTGACTCCACTAGCTTTCAAATAATGGGGCTTCTTTTCGTTGTGTCCATACATTTCATGTGCACGTATGTGCTGTCTACGTGAAAGTGTTTATTAAACATGCAGTAGTTTTGTGTTTTCTCTTGATTGTGTTCAGGCACAAGTTCTATATGACTTCATTGCTGAGCCGGGAAACAACGAGTTGACAGTGAAAGAAGGGGAGACAGTCACTATCACTAATCAGGTAAACCCACGCAAACACTCATCTGTTTTTTTTTAATCTATAACCTCCAAGGATAGGAAGTGGTTTGTATTCAACCTGTTGGTAACGTTTTGTCACTGGGATCTTTTCTTGGGGATTCATGTTTGGCCCATGAGTGTTACTCTTTAAAGGATGGGAAAAAGAAGTGGCCTCATAGTAGAAACCTGTTTACCTTTTTAATACGTTAACTTTTAAATTGTTGTATTTCTACAAGTAATGTAAAACACGCTGTGTGTTTTAACCTCAAAGTTAACTGTTGACGTGTGACTCTTCTTACATATAGCTCTTGATAAACAACAGTCTTTTACAGGCCCAAATCACATGATCTTAGGTTGTCCCTAAGTGAAGAGTCTTATAAACATGTAGAGAGGAAGGAAAGAGCGAACATGATGTCATTAAGGCGAGTCACAGCAGTTCAAAGGTCACTCACTGTGTGCTGACCTACATAGTTTTCTAATCGAAGTTTGTGTTAAGCCAATCGGGACCTACTGTGTAAGGACAACAACAGCATGTACTTTTTCCTCACTGAATAAACTGTCTGTGCAGGAATTTTTCCTGCGAGCTTTAGATGTGTTTACAGATACTTTGGTCACCTGGTTATTGTCAGCATTTTTACTCAACTCTTAAATTACAAGTGCAGAAACTTACAATGTTACATTGAGACAGATTCCTCGAGCATTTCTGCAAAATCCATGTCACATTAGCTGTACAAAAACTTATATTACATTACAGTTACTTATTAGTAAGATTTGCTGTGGCAGCAAAACAGCTATGTGTCTACATAATATCGATTATATAAATGTGACTTCAACTTACTTTACTAAGTCTGATTTCTGAATTGATGTAAAACGTGTTTGTAGGGCAACAAAAAAAAAATGTTTTCTTACATTTGTACAGTTTTTTTTTTTAAGCTGCAGCAGTACTACTGTATATTAATGTGAAATTTTCAGTAGCATGGTTCTATTTGTGCTCTCCGCAGGTTTTGGTCGGTCTAAGCTGTTTATGCTTCATCTGTTCTTCTGGCTCTCCTTCTATTTCAGGGTATAGGAGGCGGCTGGATTGAAGCACAGAACTCCAGAGGAGAACTTGGACTTGTGCCAGAGGACTACATCGAGGTGAGATACACTTGTTTTGAGATGGTGTTTTAACCGCTTACATCTCCCAACCCCAGCATTATTCTTTTTATACATTTACCTTTTGTAAAATCTGAAAAGCATCGTCAGTCATCCTCTGTTAACAAGTTGAACAGTATGTGCTAAGTAGACAGAAGTGCAAACAAATATGAAACACTGTGCTCTCTGTGTCTCTATCAGTGAGATATTTGAAATAGAAAAGGATGTGTTTATGCTACGACTGCAGCCTGCGGTACTGTCTCTGTCTTTGAATTTAAATGACAACAGGATGTGCCTCCTTCAGGGTATTTTTGTGTTTGTGTCCAGTTTTATGCTGTAACTGTGACTTCATCGTGGGGATATGATTCACTCTGAAGACATTCAGAAAGTTGGATTAAAAGAAAAGTTTGTGCAGACTATTTGTAAACAAGAGAGAAGTTGATATTATCCATCTGCTTCACTTGGCTAACAAGCTCATGTAGATGTGTGTGTTTGTTTGACCTGAAGTTACCTCCCCAGCTGTCCCTGCACGGTTTTGATTGTGTTGCAGAGTCTTAAAAACCCACTGATGACATATTCACTCACAGCTTTTGTAATATCTAATGAAAACCAGAGGGGCACAGTCTGAGTCTCAAAAAAAACTATCTTCTGTTATGCTTTACCCTGCTGGAAAAAAGTTCTGCAAAAAATAGAGAAGATTGTGGAACCAAAAGAATGCCAGATGTGTTCAAACATACTAATATTTTGAAGTGAGGAAGCAGATTTAAATGTGCAACCAGTCGGTTTCTACCCACCTTGTATAAACAGAGAAGATTAAAAAGCCAGGTTGCAAAACCAGGGGCTGTCACAAAGACATGATCACGTTACCACAGAAGAATATACCTGTTAAAAGTAATTGAATTGTACATGAATATCTGGATTTCATCTCCTAATGGGACTGTTCTCTGTCTTTTGCAGTTTCCATCGTTCCCAGCAGCAGCAGCAGCACCCACAGCACCTACTCCAAATTTAGGAAATGTTGGCGCTCCAGATCTGTCCATCTTCGATGCCTACGCTCCCCCATCTGCACCTGCACAAAACCAGGTAATGGACTCACTGGATGAAGGACAGTGTTTATTAAATCCTATACAAGCATCAAATCAAATGAGTTTTTTAGTGTGGTGTTTACTGACCTTAAGTCACCATAGCGGTAAATGAATGTACAGACTTGATTAATTTCCTGGAAATTAGAGAGGCTGCATTCTCCTGGGAATTTAGAGAGGCTGCATTCTCCCACTCGAAACACTGTATCGTGGGCTGATGTTGAAGAAAAAGCAGAAGTGAGTGAAACTAGTGTTTTTGCTGACGTTCATTCAACATGTGCAAATCCCAGAGATGCAGAAGTGAGAGCAGCTGCTGTTCATCACGGTCATGTCATTTATAACGGACACTGGTTTTAGCTTAAAAGAAAATAGAACCAAGAGGAAATAAGCGCAGTGAAATCTCAGGCAGCAGGCAGGAAGTTCCTCAACTATGAGCTGTCCTGCTGGATCAGTAGAAATGTGGGCACAGGAAATGTGTCAGCCTTCATCCCTCAGCTCTTTTCTCTCACTCCACATTTATATCGAGCATCACTTTAACCCATTACCTGCTGAGTGTGAACCTTCACTGCTGGCGCTTTGTGATGATGTCACCCTTTCTTCCTCTCAAGGTGGATGCTAGGGGCTTAAGTCCCCAGCCGGAGACCCCTGATACCCCCGTTTCCCCTTACCTTTCATCCCCTGATGAGGTAACCGACAAATCAGGGGAGGTGGAGGCCAGGGGCATGAAACCAAGCCCTCCACCCTCACCAAATCTCTGACCCTACTGTAGCAACCTCTGCTCTGATTTGCAAATTCCTACCCCTACTCCTCCTGCCTGCAGAAAGCATGATCTCAACCTCACTTTGCACTGTCGTACAAACACACTTTGTACCCACATGGAACCAATCCACACCTACAAATGATTACAGTTGTATGAATCAGCGCCACTGTGAAGCCTACGATTCTTTATCTCACATATAATTCAGTAATGTCACAGACAAATAATCAGACCAGAAGACAAAAATGTACTCCAGGTGATGATTACACTCGCTCAGATAAAATCAGAAATGTGTGATGCCACTTTGACCTGCTGCTGTATAAAATGTTAACCCGTTTATCTGCAGGTAAATGCTGAAATGTTGAAGTGTTATGCCTTGCTGCACTGCTGCTGTGTCCATGTCATTGCAGTCAATTTGTAAAAAAAAAAAAAAAAAAAAAAAGAAGCCCATCTCATTCATTCACAGTCCTTATGTCTCTTTGCATTAAGTGACCCTGCAATAGTTTTGTGTTCAGGCACCTCAGTGCTTAGTTAGCATGAAGCTAATTTCACCCTACAAAAGGCACACATACAGTTTCTTGCATGCAATGTTCCGCTGTTTTAATGGAAGTCTTAAACAGTATGTATGCCTTATAAGCATGGCATGCAGCTCTTAAGTATTGCGGAGAAAATAAATTGTGCTCAGACCTAAGAATGGTCCGCGTTTGAGTGTACACATAACAAGCATGTGACATTTTCAAATGAGCAGTATTTTGTGCTATCTGGAAATGTATAGCTTCTGCACATATTTGCTAGCATTTAGCAGCCACACTGCTACCGTACAGCTGATTATCCCAACAGATTTCACGCTCAAGACCAGGTCTGCATCATGTGTTTGAAAAAGCATGTCGTTTCATGAGTAATGTCAGAGTCTCGTTTTCAAACGGGTTGGCACGCTACTCCCGATAGCGCAACTAGTGATTTCGCTGCTTCTTTCCTCACTCACTTTCTTGTGTCGTCTCTTCCAGGCTAGTAACGGTAACGATCCCTGGTCGGTGTGGAACGCAGACCCTTCAGGGGGAGCCAACAACAACAACTGGGCGTCCAATCCAGAGGGCACCCAGACTGGAAAGGGCGCTGCTGACCCCTGGAGCTCCGTACCACAGGGCCACCCTCAGGCTTACCAGGGCCCGGGTAGGAACAACTATTTAGTTAACAACGATGTTTGATGATGTGAACACAGTCTTATGTCAGCACATTCAAATCACTATGCTCTTATTGAACTGAGGTTACTGAGTTATACTATTTAAAAATCCTGAGGATAGCCTAAGTTCAAAAATGAGGGCCAACTATTTGGTTTAGGTATCATATTACTTTTTTTCTGTATATATTAAAGTGCTGATATAGCAGGCAGCATTGCTGAAAATGAGGTGCTAAAACAGTTTACAGAGATTATAAATGAAGTTGTCCCATTGTGGTCATAGGCATGGGCAGTCACACTGTTTTGAGCTTTTGGCGCAAAACACTTTTTACTTTTTAACCTGTAGTTTTGTTTACTGGATAGACAACAATGTAGCTGAAATGGATGGTGATGTTCTGATATTAGAAAGTGTCACTTACCGGTAGCTGATGTGGTTTGCTTCATAAAACAGCATTAGAAAAACTATTCTTTACACTGAGGACAGAGTTTTATGTCCTCCTGTTGCCTAGCTAAAACTGATACTAATTCAAATACTTTGAGATTATATAATAGCCCTCTTATCTGGTGGTATATTTACAAACACTAGTTCACCCAGCTCCCTACAGATGTGGAGTAGAGTGACTTCCCAGATGCAGTTCAGCTCCGTCTGCCTCTCCTTACCACAGATGCTCCAGCACGTGGCATCAGACGATCATGTCAGGATTCTGTTTTAGTCAGACTATGGAAAAGCTAGCCTCATGCAATGACTCAGAAGGATGGATTACTGGACCTGTTTTTTAAATCCTCCAGTTGTTATTGTAATAAGAAGACTTGGGGAATAAATGGCAATGACGAGAAGAATTAACAGACTTTCCTTTCTCTCTCTTGCCAAAGACATCTACCCGTATCCTTACCTTATCGATTACACAGGTATCCCGTTCAGCGCCCGGTGGAGCTTTTTCCCTAATGTTTGTGTGTGGACTGGAATGAATACTGATGAAGAGTTGTAGGGAATCATCAACAGTCTTGAAAGCATGTCTGTGAATCATTCATTGTAGTTTGGTATTGACATTTTATTAACTGCGTTGTGTTGACGAGTGAAAGATCAAATTGTGTGACTAACCTCTGAAATGTTTCAGGCAACTTGCTGGATTAGTGTGTGTGTATTCTTAGAATCCCATTATGAAGGTGTTGATGTCCTGCATACTCTTGTTTCAGTTTTTATTATGTAATGATGAGTTTTGGTTCTGTCTGCCTGACAGGCTTGTTAGCCAAACTTTGTAAAAAGAGGAGGAATTGTTAATGTGCCTTGCATTCAGATTATTTTACCCTCCTTTGAGGAGTCTCATGCATTTAAATACGTGTTATTGCAAGTGTGTGTGCATTATGTACGGATAGACATGTTAGGTATCTAGTGCATTTGTTAGAGATGCATGCTGTTTACTCACATAATGAAATGTATTTTGGTCAGCTTACATGGGGGTACTGCATGTTCTCAAGTTGCATCTGTTACATATGAAAATTGGATGTTTAGAACCACAAAGTCCGGCTTAGGTGCCTTTTTTCAATTTATTTTAAAAAAAAGTTTGAGACTCTTTTTTAAGGACATTGATATTCAAATATATTCTTCATTTTCATATGCTTAAGATAACAATGGGTAGACTCTCCTGCAACATGTAGCTGTCTCTTGATGATGGGTAATTGAGTCATTTAAGAGTTGGTTGATGAACAGATCTGATAAAATCACATTGGGGAGGTGGGTTGTAAACTTTTTAGCTGTAATGTTTCTATACTTCTAAATAAAACAACAACAACAACAATGCACTCATGTTATATATCTGCCCTCAGGAGCCGAGGACGATGAATGGGACGATGAATGGGATGACGTGAAGTCTACTGGAGGTTACGCCGAGTCAGAATCTGGAGATGGCGGAGCACTGCAGAGAGGAGGAGCTCATGCATCTACCATGAAAATATCCCTCAACAAGTAGGTATTTTATAAGAAGTTGGCAGGAAACATAATAATCTTCATAGAAAATGTAAGCTGCAGGATGGTTGTCATGTCATTGTCTAACCCTAACCCTTGTTTAAAAAAAGAGGGGGTAAATCAAAAGGGATGGATGGATTTCCTTCTTCCTTCTTTGAATCTTATTTTGTTCAGATTCACGCTTACTCACAAGAGGTTTTCTTCCTCCCTGTGTTTACCGTTGCATTGTTGCATCTCTTGCTGTGTTGCCATCACTTGTAGATCAGTTTTAATGTTGTGAAATTGTTTGCAGGAGAGTGTGTTGCATCAGCTTTGTATATGATCAATCAACAAAAAGGCAACCAGTCATGAACACACTGCTGCATAGGTTTACAAGAGTTGAAAAAAACGTCTTAGCCACAGGGAGCTGCCCTCTCTACTTAATAAAGCTGTGAAAGATTGAACGAGTGTGCATCACTTATCACGTTTTTGTCTTTCTTTGAGCAGGTTTCCTGGGTTTTCCAAGTCCGGTCCAGAGCTCTACCTCCTGTGCAAGCAGCTCGCCAAGAGCAAAGAAAAGTTACCGATCTATGTAGGTGATTTCCAAACATTTTTTGACAGATGTGTTTACTTGTTATAGCACTAGTTTCACCTTCCCTACTGAAAATATGATGATCATAGCACATAAACTAATGATGAGCCCATGTACAGGTAGATCCAGGTACTCTTTATATGATTGCAGTTATTGGTGTTAAACTCTCTACAGTATATTAAATCGTTTTACAGTATGGTTGGAAATGGTTCCATCTCTTTGGATCGTTACGATTCCATAAACTGCTGAGTGGCACATTTTGAAACCTTTGTGTTTGGTTCAGATTGGAGAAGTTGGTCCCGTGTGGTCTTACCCTGAAAGTCAACTCGACTGCGTGGTCGCTGATCCCAAGAAAGGCTCAAAGATGTACGGCCTCAAGAGCTACATCGAGTACCAAATCACACCCAACGTGAGTATCCAGTAGTTCATTTAGCCGTCAGTAGTTTAAGTCTGGGATTGAACTATGCTGAAACTTGATAACTGCAATGACATCATCTTTAAAAAAAAAGAAAATTCATAACATCCAAACCTTGTTGACCCTTGTTTTTTCATGTGTCTGTTAGAGATCAAAAGCTCTGTCTGAATTGTGTTTTGTTTATTGAAGTTGATATGCTAAATAAGGTTATGATAATGTATTAAAGGATTTGCTCTATTTCTTCTGACTCACATTTTCTGTAACTCCTTGCTATTGTTTTGCAGACCACAAATCGACCTGTCAATCACAGATACAAGCACTTTGATTGGTTGTATGAGAGGCTTCTAGACAAATTTGGGTCAGCCATCCCCATTCCCTCTTTACCAGACAAGCAGGTGACAGGTAAGCGCCAGGTTGCATAAAATGTATGATACAAAAAAGATAAAGATTGCTCACATCAACATTACATTTTCTTTGTACCCTCCCCTCTGTTCAGGACGGTTTGAGGAAGAGTTTATTAAGATGCGTATGGAGCGTTTGCAGGGCTGGATGACCAGGATGTGCAGGCATCCGGTTGTTTCCAGCAGTGAAGTATTCCAGACTTTCCTCACCTACAAGGATGAAAAGGTGTGTGAGTCCTCCTCCACTTCCTCTCCCCTTGAGGTTTTGAATACACTGTGCTTTGGAAAAATGTATTCAAGGGCTGAAAGCTCCTGCTTTTATTATTAAAATGTAATATTTGATGATGTGTAGATCTTACTTGGGCTCAAGCAGCTGTGTCAAGTCACTAAAGTCCAGACCTTATTCAAATATATGACTTCTTGGTGCAGGACTGGAAGACGGGAAAGAGAAAAGCAGAAAAAGACGAAACAGTCGGAGTCATGATTTTCTGCACAATAGAACCTGAAGGTCAAGACCTGGATCCTGTGGAAGTGTGAGTGTGAAGCAAATATACTCAAGTACAAGAAACACTTGGCTACAAAAGGACCTACCTGGCACCTCCTGACTGTTTGTAAAATGTGTCCACAGCGAACAGAAATGCGAGCAGTTCAGCAGGTTTACCAAAGCCATGGATGACGGAGTGAAGGAAATCCTCACTGTTGGCAACGAGCACTGGAAGAGATGCACAGGGCGTAAGTAAACACTCCACTGAGGCTAAATAAATGATTTACTACACAAAGAGGACTCCCCTTTACTTTGTGCTGTAATTATTGTTTATATAATACAGTGGTTCATTGTGTTGAGTATTTTGTCATCTGAAGGAACTTTTCATTCACACTGCAGCTTTGTATTAATGTTGCTTTTTTTTTTTTTTCTCCACAGCTTTGCCAAAAGAGTACCAGCGAATCGGAAAGGCCTTCCAAAACCTGTCATCTGTTTTCACCAGCAGTGGATACCAAGGTACACCAACATGTTTAAGTTTCATGCTAGTTGGCTTTTTACTTGGCCGTCTTTGGTACCACCTTCAAAATGCAGTTGCTGTCATTTTTTTACGTGCAAAATCTGTCTGGAAACAAATTGCCAAACAGGAAGCTATTGAGAAACACGGCCGTGACACAATTTAAACCCTTTGCTCGTGTAGGTGAGTCAACCCTGACTGATGCCATGACAGCAGCTGGAAAGACCTATGAAGAAATAGCTCAGATGGTGGCAGAGCAGGTAGGTACTTTGCATGTTATTACCTATTTTATTATCATTGACCTAAACTTCTACAAAGATCCTGTTCGGGTGGTTTTGAACACCTGCACTCGTTTCCCCTCATAAACACAGCAAAAAGGAGCTGATTTTTTTTTTATGTGTTCACTCTGAATAATCACAACATCAGACAGTATGTGAACATTTCCTGCTTACGTCAGTGTGTACATCTGTGATGTGGTGTTTCAATGACCCTTGTAACCAAGCATCCTGTGTGTGAAGTCTGTATCAGTATCAGGAAAAAGCCACAGGGAAACTTATCTCGTGTATTTCCAAGTGTGGCTCGTCTTGATGAGTCTGATCAGTGTGGCGTTGCAATGCTCAAATCAAACCTAGGCATTTTTTTTTTCTTGATGTTCCAGCAGCTTCCAGGAGGATGATTCATCTGGTAAGCTTGTGCTGCTCCAGACACCTTCTCTCCTGTAGACATTAGCTTAAGTTTAGCCTCACCTGTGATTGCAGTGTGTATTCATCCCCAGAGGCTGCATACAGCTTTCTCTTGTTAACTGAATGTTAAGGGACAATTGTAGGTGTTAGATTTATATAAATAACCAGATGTATGTACTGCAGAATGTACATAAAACATGCTATATGCAGAAACACCGTCTGCTGGAGGCTCCTGTGGTTAAATGGTTATCTACACTATTTTGAACTTGTAACCCCCTGTTCTTGTTTTAAAAAAAGGTCTTTTGTGTTCCTGAATTCTTTTCCTGTGTGATGTTTCCTGTTTTGGATCCATCTGTGTTCCAAGTTTAGGTAACATTAATCTCTTATTGACTTTGTCCATCTGTGTTTTTTTTTTTTTTTTTTAGCCCAAGAAAGACCTCCACTTCCTCATGGAGACTAACAATGAATATAAGGGTCTTCTGGGATGCTTCCCAGACACCATTGGAGTACATAAGGTACACAGGAAAATAGTTACTCAAAGGTTTGATTAAAAAAAATGATATAATAGGATGTCTCATTTATATACCCCTACCCCCCTCCCCCCTCCATACTGAAGTTGAAGATTCACCCACTTACAAAGTTCAGTTTTAGACTTCATTATCATTAGTTAAGTGCTAAGCTTACACATCGCCTTGTTGATAACATAAAAAATAATATTCAACATCGATGTTAATTATTTTTAGTTACAGTAAACAACAATAAACACTGTAACTCATTCTACAAAACATGTTGGTTAACTCTTGTGAATATCTTCTTTACACTTAATATTATAATTATATCCACATTTCAACAGACACAACTGTTACCAGTATGTACGGCAGTAGTGTTACTGCTCCTGATGCGACAGGGATTTCCTGATGTTTTGGTTGATTTTAATTGGATTGCACTGCTGCCAATTAAAGGCTTTAGTGACATTCTCAAAGTGTAAAATGCGACTTAATGCAATAAATCACTGAAAGCACAGTTTAAATACTTGCTACTTGGTAGGAACTTAAAACACAAATGTCTGCTGTGTCTGAATTCCATTTCAATGTGCTGTTATGTACACTAACAGCATGTAACGGTATGTGAGTGTGGAGGCTGAAAGGCTGTGACTTTGTCAAGAAGAGACAAAATGTTTTGAACATGTGTGACTTCTGTTGTTAAGATGTCAGGTTTTTACATTCTGCAGGCAGCCATAGACAAGGTGAAAGAGGGCGACAAGCTGGTAGCTACGAGTAAAATTACCGCTCAGGAGAAAGTCACCATGGCTAAACGAGTCAGCACCATGTCTTACACATTACAAGGTAAAAGACTCACTTAGAAATATGGAAGTGATTGTGTTCATGAGAACACCATATCTGATTCAGACGTCTTCCCCTCTGGTTTCCCACAGCTGAGATGAACCACTTCCATAGCAACCGTATCTATGACTACAACAGGGTCATGCAGTTGTACCTGGAGGAGCAAGTCAAGTTTTACGAGACGGTAAAGACTTTTTCTCCACCATCTATCAGAGTTAACTGAAATCTGTAACAATCAGTCTGTTATGTAACGTGGTGAGCTCCATTGTGCTTTCAGGTATTACATGACCACCTGCTGCTTTTGTTATAATGCATGTTTTTCTTCTTCTTAACTCGACAGATCGCTGAAAAACTGAGACAAGCACACGGTCAGTTCACTACGATGTGAAAGCAGCTGCCTTCAGTCTCCACTACAAGACAAGAGTAACAAAAGAAACAGCTCTACATCCAAAAGATTTTTGCTTTTCTGCATTCTGCTCCCTCCCTTTAAATTAAATTTCACTTCTCCTTTTCTATCATACGTACCTCATCTCTTCCTCTACTGCCCTTGTTATCTGTTGCTCTCAGATGTTTATGGACAGCAAAGAGCATGTGCAGCAGCTGAAACAAGAAGGGCCAGCAATGATAGAAGAGCGAGACACACTATTAACCGACCCTCTTTCTTCTGCCCAATACCTGCAGCTTGAGATGAAGGAAGTAAACATCTAATCACAGTGTATGGCTGTGAGTCAAACCCAGAGTTCTTTAATGTGTTGCAAACACTTAATGCAAATATGCACACTCTTGCATTATATCTAAGCAATATTGGCAGGTTATGAGTTTCATGTTAAAATGAAAGTAAAGGAGAGGATTTACACATCATGCAAAACACACAGACACCAAAAACCAAAGCCATGCTCTCCTCGAGCACAGGGGAGGATTTCCAGATGCAGCATTGACAAAAAAAACAAGGGCTCTCTCAAGAGTCTTTTTGTGAATTAATTTTATTCCCGCTTGGGTTCTTTTTGTCTAGTAAGTAAGTACCATTAACATTTTAGACCCCAAACATCTTCAGTAAGTGCTCTTTTAATTCTTGCAACAGTGTGTATCCTCTGTATGTAAACTGCTGGCAGTCCTTAGCCCCCTCTTTTCTTTTCTGCACTTCTTCAAAAGCTAACAGGAAGCACCACCCTTTCCTTGTCTTGCACGTGTGCCTTATCCCTTTGAGGGAAAAATTTGAAATCGTTGACTTGGTTTTTTTGCCATCCCCAGCCTGTGTACCGTGACACTGTAGTTTACATTTCAGAAGAGAAGACAAAAAAATGTTGGATACTCAAAGCTGGGGCTATTTCATTACCAAACATGATTTCTGTCCTGCCGGTTCTCCTGAAGAATATTTGTCCCTTTTTTACAACCAGATGTTGTTCTATATGAAGGCGTAGTATCAATGTTTAATGTAAGAATTTATACTATAAGGAGAGTTCAGGGTGGAGACATGGATTATGTCACGTATGCAGTTTAACTTTCGCTTTTCACTGCCCACTTTTCAATCAGTCTAATCTTCTACACCCTTTGTTTTCTTATCACTTGAAGTATGAAAAAATATACATTTATATATATATTCTATATGAGCTATCAGGTGCTTCTTGTCACTCAGATACTATTTTATGTATAGAAGTATTTGCAATACAGTGTAACTCAAAGAGGAACTAAATTTCTGTTTGATTTATTAAACAATGATTTGTACTCATCTGGGACTTTATTTATCTCTTTGTGAGTGTGTGTGAAAGCAACCACTTCTTCTAAGCTTGCAGGCTCAGAGTGTACAACACACTACTACTCTCTCTCTCTCTCTCTCTCTCTCTCTCTCTCTGTGACTGCACTCACAGTAAAGCCCTTATTCACTTCGGCAGGCTCTCTGCGTAGAGATGGATAGGAATGAGAATGAGTCGGCAGGCTGTGCGAATGGTCAAAGAGTGTGTTTGTGGAGGAAGTGAAAGAGCTCTTTTACCTCACGTTCCAGCTCGCGCTCCAATTAGGTGCATCTGGATGTGTCAGCCACATAAAGTAGCCAGTCAGGAAGACTTTACACCCCAGACGACACATGCATTATCTTATCTTTTTAGTTATTTTAGAGTGTTTGATCACTGCCATATTTAGAGCATTATTCAGGAGTATTATAATGATTATTAGGTTGTGTTCAAGTGTAAAGATATCGGAGTATACATCTGCAGCTTTTTTCTCTCATTTTTGCCCTATAGACTTCACCTCTTCCCAACATATGCCTGCTATATCCACACTGACCTGCCAATGGGCTGAAGGTCTTTGGTAACCCAAGCGTTAAGTAATTTGAATCTGAGCATCACTTTCTGGATGCCACAGATAAACAAAGATGTTTTCTTTATAAGAATTATCAAGTTGTTTCTTCATGTCAGTAAGAAATTTCCTTTCACTTGAGATGCTTCTTTTTTTATAAAAATGATATTCTTTGAGCCATGTTTTGCACATATACTGGATTTTTTATTGTACAGATCACATAGAGTGTATGCATGTATACACAGTCCACTGTGCCTGACTCTGTTAGACACTAATCAAATCAAAGGGTCAAGGACTCTGGGTTATATATTTATATGAATTTTCTGAATATTCTCATGTCCTCACTGTTTGAGTAACAATATTAAAATCTCCTTATTTCAAAAATATATTTCATAACACATTAAATTCTTACTTGGCTGAAATTCAAAATAATAGAATGATGAATATTCAATAAGCATGCAACGCTTGCAGAGCATAAAATATGTAGGCGGTAAAATTCCATGATGTGCCTGGAAAACTAAGTCCTTCAACACATCATACACACATCCCTTGTGCATCCGACGTGATGTATCAAACTAAACGTACAAAATACAAGTAGAAAATAAAGAACTCACTTCCCTTGACTGACAGAAAAATATATCTATCAAGTGTTTTTTCCAAAAAATATGTAGCTGAAATATGACTCAGCAGTTTTAAAAAGATCAAGTATGTCATTCACAATTGCAGCTGGAGTTGTTGCGCTTGTTTACGAAATTGACATTCACTTCCTCTGCAGTTGAAAGGAGGAGTGGGTGTCATCATCGCCTCAATGTCACCGTGAGATTGCCCTTGTGAGTCCCTATCTCCTGTCTGGTTCATGTAGGAGGTCAGGGTGACAAACGGCTTCGGAAGCTGCGTGGCCGGATCATCATGCTGACTTTGCGAAGGGAGTAATAATCCGAGTCTTTCCAGGAGTACCAAACGATCCCATCAGGACCCAGCGGCCCCCGGCTTCTCGGTGTGTAATGGCCTCCCTGCAGGATGAGGGAGTTGTAAACACTCTCTCTGACTTTTTAAAAGAATAATGTGAAGGGATTTATCTGTTAGCACTCACTCTGTAGTAGACGCCATTAAGGTTGGCATAGAAGCACTGGTTGTACCACCAGCCGCCATGGGAGATTTCAGCACAGATGTTCCCACTGTCAGGCGTGCTGAAGCCCTGCTTATCATGGTACCAGCTGAAAGAGTCCTGGGCTGTCCCACTGAATCCCGTCACATGGAGACGGTACTGATGCTCTTCATCCTCCACACTGAACACACATAAAGAAGAAGAGTTGGAAACAATATTCTAGAGATACAGATGGTTGTGCGCTTGTTTATGACACCGACCTGAAGCTCTGGTAGAGGGCATGTTTGTGCTTACTGCTCCAGTCTTCCAGGTCGATGCGGAGGGTGTATTCTCCCTGAGTGCTCAGTTCGTGTATGTGGTCGTTACCCAACCAGAACTCTGACTGCAGGTCACCAAAGCCGTCCCTGTAATCCCTCCAGCTGCGGTCAAAGCTCACTGAGCCGTCCAGGCGCCGCTGGATTACAGTCCAGCCACCCCCTGCAACAAAAAGAAGGCATTGCACCTTAAGGGTGAGCCTATGTAATGTCATATAGGTTATGATACTTGAAACACATAGTACCATATTGTAAAGAATGGTCCTATTCTGTTGGATCCTAACATATAATTGCCTCATATATAAACATATTTTACCATTCAGTATTGTTCAGGATCATTTCCTATCATTAAGTTATGTATCTGATCACACAGTTATGTAGGTCTGTATGATAAAGTAGTGTCCCATCGTGTGGTTTATTGGACACTGTTGTATAGTAACATGACATCTTAAAGTGTCATATCATATACCCCCTATATTGTGCTTTTTCATTCACTATTGTTTGCTTTTTTTCATAGAATTGTATCAATTCCAATTGTATACCATATGGTATTGAATCCTTTTTTATAGATTTTCTTTCTATAATGTTGTTTCCTATCAAATAGTATCATGTTGGACAGTAATGTAAAGGTTTTTATACATTATTGTGTGTTACATGATAGGGTATCCTATCTTATAGTGCCTATCTTACCAAATTAAATTACTTACTTTAAATTCAACTTTCCACTAAATATGTCTCAATGTCCTGTATAAGTTTTAGTGTATAGTTAATATTTTAATTAGTTTATAGTTTACTGAATTATTGCTTATAATAGTTGTAAATAGTACATTTATCTTTATTTGAATTTGATTCCTATATATTCTTATTTTATTTGTACTCATATGCACTTCTTGTCTTTTACTGCTGCAAAAAAATGTCCCCACTGGGGATCAAGTATTATCTTATCTTATATTGCATTGTTTCATACAGTATAATATCACTTGTTCAGTATAATTTTCTTTGAGTTGTCATTGTTTTTTTTATATAATTTTTCCTACTGTATTGTATTTTTTTTTTTTTACATATAGACTGGTTTCATTATTGTATCATATTGGATCAGATGATATCGTTTCCATTTGGCCAAGGCAGAATTCAGGGACACTGCACAGCACACCTGGAGAGTTTAAAAACATCAAACTTGATTTAATTTTGGCCAACACGTTGGCTCTAGCTTTGGAAAATCCTGCCAAAATTCAATCAGTGCTTAACCAATGTTCTACCATGTGACTCACCCTCTGTGTCCATATCACAGTAGACCTCCACAGGCATGCCTGCGAGTGATGGCACCACTGTGTAAAGACCTGACCTCCTCACTCCATTGTAGTAGATGGAAGCACAGTCAATGGGACAGTTCCTAACATGATGAAGCTCTGAAGGAAAGGAAACGTGAGACAGGAATGAGTAGGAGGAAACTTGAGCTTGGTGCCCTCTGCTGGCTGGTTTTAGTATTTGATGTGCTTGTGTCTGTGAGCATACCTGGGTGTGATGCTTCTTGAGCATTCATCAGAGAGTTGGGTCGGACGATGTTGACCATGCAACCAGGGCTTCTTTTCACTCTGTCCACCATGAGTGTCAGATTTTGGAGCTCGTTCTAAAGTAAAATGAAGGGAAGTTATTGAATACCAACCAGTGCACATACATTTTCATGTTTTCATTCCTTCATAATTCCTTAACAGCTAGCAACAATGTTATTTACTCTCAGGTTTATGTTGCTGTAGAAAAAAAAAATACCCTGTGAAATAAAATTGTTGTAACACTGTTACATGCCTCAAAGAAAAAGTGTAACAGTGTTTCTTACCTGGAGGTCTAGAATCAAAGTGCCCTGTAGATGCAGCAGGGTGGTTGCTTCAACATAGTGAATCTCCAGGTCATGAAAACGCTGCTCCAAAGAAATATTCAAGTGGTTCCTCTCTTCACTCTGTCCCAGACATGTAAGTACCCATTCACACAAGCACAGACAAAAAGAAAAACAATGTGAGATCTGTTTTTTCTTCTTACTTTTTTTTTTACATCACTTAATACATAAGAATACAAGACCATAAGAATGTATAAAATCGTGTTCTGCAGTTTTGTTATGATGTTCCAGTGACGCAGATGATGATGAACGTTGACCTTTTCTACTTGTTGAAACATTTCGCTTGTATTTTTGAAAGTCCAAAGGCTCACTCACTCTAGGACCAGTTGCCCCCCCCCCCCCCCCATTCCCTTGCTGGCCTAGCCTCAGCCTTGCAATACGTCGCTATATCATAGTACAACACATGTATTGGTTCACAAGTAAGCGTGTTCTCAGGGTCAGCACAATGGAAAACAACCCAGAGAACATGACTGCAACTTTACTGACTTTGTGGCTTATTTTAAGTTGTTTTGGTCTCATGAGTCCCTCTAACACTCCCGAATTTCTCGATTTTGCAATGCGGCTAACGATTACGCCCGTGCTTGTGCTTTAGCTCTTTCATGAGCAACCACAACAGGCTGAAGCCTGCCTCTTTCAACCGTGCCACGCCACAAAGCACTCACACGAGTCAAACAAACTGGACTTAATTGTTCAAACGTGCTTGGGAACGGTACAGATTTCATGTTGCATGTTTTGAACAAACATCACTAGCACAGTTTCTAGCGTAGACATTACAACAACTTATGAATAGTTTTACTAAGATACTAAGATCATCTGTGCTAATCAGCTGATTGTGGAGAAAAAGTGGATAAAGTGGTGCTGTGCGCCTCAAGCTAATGTTAGCTGCTAGCTGGCTGAAGTTGTGTTTTAGTGTTATGTTTTGCATAGTTACATTTAATGAATCTGCTTTAATTTTATCTTAATCTGGCTGTAAAGATGAACTGATCTAAAACAGTAAACAATCTTGATTTTAAAGTGCAAAAATCATATTTCTCCCTCTGACTAACCGTAAAAGTCAGACGTGGCTGTGTGATAATGACTTTAGTCCATATACATGACGCTAAAATACTTCATACAGGAGGCCTAGTCTTTTGTCTCATGTTTCATAAAGTAAAAAAAAAAGGGAGATTCCATAATCAAGTGGCATGAATCAAAATGTACTGAATCAAATAATAAACAGAGTGAATTGTTCCATATTTTAATGAATCAAGATTTTAATCAGATAGCCTATGAAAAGAGAGACGCACACCCCTATTAAAAAACCTAGCTTAGCTGTAGCTGCTTTTACTCACAGCTGCATTTTGTAAATCTGTTAAACATAGATATACAATATTCCCTGGCTTAAATACTGCTTATGAATCGATCTTAGTAGTTTTTATTCTATTGTCTTTAACTTGGCAGCTCAATACACATACAAATGAACACTGAGTTTTTTTTTAGTCTTTCTCAATGCATACAAAGTAAAACATGCAACTTCTCCTGAGGCTCTTTGGGGAAATAGAATGGGCCTTCTCTTCTCAAACTCAAAGCTGGACTCTTCAGTATGTGCTCTATTCCTAGCCTGGACATTGAGGATAACATTAACACTCATTAACACACAAACCCTGGAGCACTTCCTGCTCTCGTGTTCAACACATGAACCCTTTCCACCGGCCAACTTTGGTCCAACTGGGTGTGTTTTGCATATAGATCACTGCCTGAGATGCATGAGGCAACACGTGGAGGAGTAGGAGGCTAATCCTGTTAGCAACTGAGGTCAAGGACATGTTGGGGGGAAGCCAGCTTGATGACCAGTCATGACGTTACACTGCAGAACTCTGCACAACTAATGTGTTTCTCGACTAAATCATGGCGCCAAACTGCAAACAGGAAGTCAGGGTATGAGTCAGCTGTTTGACCCCCTGAAAAACGTTAATGTTTCACTGGCTTTAAACTAAAAAAAAGATGGGGCAGGGAAAGTATAAAAAAAAGTGATTTAAAGTTTCCTCCCTAAAGGATAGATTTAGTGCCACAGACAGAGAAAACACCAAGTTTACTGTCCAAATAAGTGAGCTGTTTTCATGTTCAGTCTGTTCCAAGTAGCTGTCACATTGCCACAACACCCAGTGAGCCCTAAAGCAAGCACTCAAAGCAGTTGAAAGGATTGTCGCTGAAAGTTGATCCAGGTCTGCTAAGTCGATATGTAAAGTGTCACCTGCAGCTCGAGGACTTTGATGCGGTGGCGATGGTTCCTCAGCTCCTCCTGCAGCTCAGAGATGGTCTCCTTCAGTGTCACAATCTGCTGCTTCCTCTCTTCGTTCTCGTTCAGCCAGTAGGAAACCTCGTCAGAGCAACGGAACATGTCAGGGCACTTCTGCTCGTTCAGCTGCGGCAGCGTGGCCACTAGGCGACACATCCCATCATCCATCACCTGTTAGGAGGGAGGAGATTCAGGAATCAACTTTTAGAACAAAGTTTTAATTGCATGACATTTTTTCCGACTGGTAGCAAAAAAAAAAAAAAAAGTTCTTCAATGTCATGTCCTACAAAACAGGCACAAGCTGACCTCATCCTCTAACATGACATACAGAGAGGACTTTAGTAGGTCAAACTCTTTATTTTCAACCTGGGTAAGTGGGGATATAATTCATTCATTAATAAATATTGGATGTTCTAACTAAGTGGAAAGACTCGAGGGATGGCAGTTACATTTCAAACAGACATTTATTTTCCCACATCACTAACATTTTTCTTTTGGCAGTAACAATATAAAGGAATCTAGTGCTGTCAATACTATTCTGCTACAGCTAATTTAAGACTCTATTCTGGGCTCCAGTAGAAGGTCATTGGTCACTATTGTTGACATATGAACACAAAAAGTAAAGTAATACCAAATCAAACACATTCCTATAGCTGCTTATTCTGTTTCTCTGCACACTCGTATAAAAGTTTGCATAATTCTGACTTTCCAGATTTTTTCAATAGTGAATTTTGTGTGGTGGTTCTTCTGTTTTAGTTGCAGATGCAGTAGGCCTGCTTGTTTGTTGGTTTTGTAGGAAGGTATAACATTTACTAAGGTACTGTAATGTAGTTTGACTCTCTGGTAGGCTACTTGTTGTGTCATTTCAATTTGACGCTTCTGTACTGCTGAGATAAACTGCAGAAGGAAATGATTTGCTTTTTACTCCACAAAAGTAACTAACAGTTATTCTTCTTAAGATTTAGATTTACTATATTATCCATGAACAAATTAATGAAAGATGCAATTATATAGTTTTAACCCACCAAAGGTTACAGTCTAAGGCCCACAAGGGCTTAGGGGGAGGGGTTAGACATCTAGGTTTGTAACCATTGGACTGAGCCACCAAACTACATCTGAATACATCTAGTTGCAAATAGAAATCATATTTGATTAATCAGTATAACACATTTGTATAGTATAAGTGTATATGAGGACATATCCCTATTAATTCTGTACTCTGAGCAGTTTAACATATATTTGACTACATTCATAAAGGCACTTTTTTCTCTTTTATGAAACTTGTTTACTGCAGAGCTGAGATGCTCTTTCAAAAAGCTGTCCCATCTCTGGAGTTACAGGTGAAAGCACAAGGAGGTAAACTCTTCGTCGAGCATTCAGAGTGTGATCACCTGGTTAGTATACTCCCCACACTGAGCTCCCCCACCGTTGCGCTGAGTGGTTGTGTTCTGGAAGTCAGCTTTGGCTTCTGGAAGCAACACGATGAGGAAACAAAGAGCAGAGCACAAGCCCCACCTGGGAGGGCCTCCTTGAGACAGGAGAGACATATCTGCATCTGGTTACTCTGTTCCTGCTGTGTCAGTGAGAGAGGGGGTGGGACACGGGAGTGTGTGCTTCACCATGTGAGGCTCTGCTGCTTCTCCCTGGGGGAAAAAGAGAGAGAAACATAGACACCTTTTCGCCCATACAGTCATGCTTCTTCACCCTGTCAAACCTGACACAATATTTGGGAAGTGAGATTAATTAGGAAGAAGGTGACGCCCTCAGTCTATCACATTAGTCTAGTTTGTCCTCAGGTAACTGACTAAACACACAAACAAGCGTGCCCAAGTCAAATGAGCCACACTCAGAATTTGAGTTTTTCTATCTTTCTAACTTAGTCACATGAACACTCAACAGAAAACATAACAAGCATGCAATAAACAGTTTTTTTGTATCTGTAAAGCCATAAAATGTGAACTATGGACTATGCTGCTCATATATACTTTTTCATTCTGTTGTACATACCCTGATTACAGACCATCTACTACCCCGTTCCTGGCCCATTTCAGGCTGAGGGGTTCCCTCCATTTTCTTCTTCTCCTTCTCCTTTTTTTCCCTTTCTGGCTCTCTCTTTCAGTCTGTATGCCTCATGCTCTCTCTTTTCCTCGCTCTCGCTCTCATTGCAGACATCTTAGTCCCATAATCCACCTCTAAGAGGATTCACAACAACTGAGGGATGGAGGGAGGTACACCGCTAGGGAAGCAATAATGAAATTATCAAGGAAGCAGGAGAAAAAAAGGTGCAAAAAAAAATGTCTTTAAGTACTTGTACTTTTTAAAGAAAAGATTCATGGGTCAATTTTGCTGCTGTCTTGGGTACCTTTTTTGACGAAACTGCAATTATTGAAACAAAGCTTTTGCTACATATTTTGAGTGAGAAATTGATCATGAAACGGATTTATCATAGAAAAAGAGTTGACACAGCTATAGGAAAGTCAGATTTATTCTATATAGAGAAAGGTAGGAATTGGGCACGTGCATTTCTCTGGAATTGAATGCATGCGTCAGCAAAACGCATATATGCATCATCTACAGGCAGGGTAATCCTGCTCACAGGAAGCAGTAATGAAGCCTGATGTGAGTGGAAGTACGAGGGGGCTGATCCTATTACAGTTGCAAAGCTGCTTTTTACATCTTTATACCCTCCACTTTGGCTTTGCTTGCACAGATCCTTGTAAATAATAAACACTAATGAACACTAACGAAGACCTAATTACTTGTTTGTTTTATGTAACTGTAGCTAAGAAACTTGTCAAAACACAAAAAAAAAGCTTTTTTCAATGTCACTGTGTTGCAAAACTACCTAAGGCATCTATTTCATGCTGAAATTTTCACATACAGTATACAGTAAAGGCCCTGCAGCCATCTATCTGCTATGTGAAGGGATCCTAAACATCACCTGAAGACTGCACAGTGCATAAGCATGGCTTATTTAATGCATGCATACTGAATTCCACAGATTGACCCTCAGGGATTTAAAATGCCCCTCACAAGAAAGTTCTGCTGTGGTCCCTGATGCTGTGTGTTGAACACTTGTGTGAGTAAGTTTATGAGAAAGGCCACATGGTGGCAGCATGTAACAACTTCATTATGGACTGGCCCTCCCTGTGCTGCTGTGCCTTCACAGTGAACTTATCCAGAGAAGCAGGACAGGCAACAGAAAACAACAATTGATCAAAGGTATTAAAGCCAGAAAATTAGGGTTAGGGTTAGGGTCAAACAAAGAAAAATGAATGTAGATAGATATTGAGACGGTCTCATTTAAAGCCCTAGTTTCTAAAATGTACAGTAGCAGTAAGAGAAGAGCTATAGGCTATAAAGTTGGGTCAAATGACATGTTATCTTGAACCTATATCATACAGTGCATGCTAAATTGTTATTCTAAATCAGTGGTTCCCAAGCCTACTGTATCATTAAATCCTGAGACATTGCACTGCAACCAATGCATTACAGGAGAGACTTATAGTGGACAGAGGACATCTCTCTCTATCTCATATGCTCACCTGCTGAACATACAGATGTGTTAGGGGTGCAAAATTAATAATATCAATCATCCACCAGCTCTTTGGTCTTACAGTACATGGCTGTCTTACACAGGTATAAGAAAATGTTAAAAATAGTTTGCAAATATGCTGAATTATTCATCTTTTAAAAGCAAAGGGTAACATTCCTCATGAAGTTATGGCTTTTCTCAGCGTGTTGACATGCACCAAAAGCTAAGGCTGAGTGATGTGACACATTGACAGGATGAAGGACAGGTTTTAAGAAGGAGGTGGAAGCAGAGGAGTTCAGAGTGGGAGGTATTTCATTTCCTGTGTTGGCAAAATGACACATGTACAAGAGTTTGATTTCATAACAAGAGTACCTTTTGTTGAAAGTCTAGCCATACCTGCATAGAACTGCAGTCCATTTTTTTTATCCAGTGCCGAATCACAGCAGAAGCTGTTTCAGTCCACCTTTCACAAGGTGTGTTTTTGAATATACTGTTCATGTTCAACCAGGGATTGAATGTCCCAATATATGAGGTGAAATATAACGGTTTGTAAGGAGGAAGCAGCCGTTGCTCTGCATGGGTTTAGAACGAGGAGTTTGTACTTACTCAGACTCTGGAGTTGATGTAAATTGGCTCAAAGAAATGCCTGTTCCTGGAAAGAAAGAATCATGAACACGTGTATGTATGTCGTCTAAGTGAGAAAGAAGTGGAGCACAGCTTGTAGCTCCTTTGATCTGACAAAGTTTGCTCTTTATTTTTTGTATGAAATGAGACATTTTACAAATCCTCTTACCAGGAGAAACATTCAGAGCTCCAGCAAATGTCTCGGATTATATGAAGATGTGATGTGAATCAAAATGAGTCCCTCATAGTCACGTGATCTTAATTTATAAACCTTTGGGAAAATTCACACCCAAATATTTGACCAGCATTCTTAACAACCTTCATAAAAACACCAAATGAATGATTTTAATTTAGTAAGGATGGTGTTTCTTCCCCTGTGTAGGATTTCATGGGGCGGGAGAATATCTGCTTAGGAGCATTAAAGTTGCTCTTACTGTCGTCGGTGGCCCAACACCTTATGTTTGATAAATAGGCTAATTATTATTTGTTACCCATGTGTTTTATGTTTGTGTGCGCAAAATTCCTTTATTTGCTTCCATACAGATTATATATCCTCTTAGTTATGTACTTTGTTGTTTCAAGAGTCTAACTAACAGGTAGTGCTTCAATTTAAATCTCCACAAATTCTAATGTAGAGATAAAAGCTTCTGATAGCTGTCTTAAATGTTATTTGGAAAGATAATTGGAAAGTCATTTTCAGTTTCAGTTAAAAGAGAGCTTTCCTTGAGAATGGTGCCAAGATAAACAGTGTGTAATAATACTTACCTATAGGAACACATGTGTTGTTTAACCATTCAGCTGATCTGACATGTTTATAATGGCAGATAACTGGTAGTGATTGATGTGTGAGTTGAGTAGCCTATGGATTGAACGTTCTCACTTATTCTCAAATAGGTCAAATTAATCACTTTTCTTTTACAAGGAGATTAAATAAATCCATTTCAGGGTGTATCGTTTCAGTTTAATGCCTTGCATGTAGATTGTTACATCTAATTAAACTATTAAACCTGAAACTTAAAAAGAATACAAATTACACTTGAAAGCATGTTTGATTGACAAAGGTTTTAAGACCCATATATTTATCAGTGTAATAATACAGCGGGTTGTGTTATTTTTACAGCTTAATGAATGATGGCTCTTCAGCGCAGTATCTCTCCAGAAAAGAGTGTCGGACTCGGTTTATTTCTCACTGTTGTTAGTGAATAATGGTCCTTCCAGAGCTCTGATTGACTGGGTGACATTTTCTTTAAAGGAACAATGTGACAAGGTACTAATTAGCAACACACACACAAACACACACACACACACACACACACACACACACACACACACACACACACACACACACACACACACGCACACACGCACACACACGCACACACACGCACACACGCACACACGCACCACGCACACACACGCACACACACACACACACACACACACACACACACACACACACACACACGCACACACGCACACACACGCACACACACACACGCACACACACGCACACACACGCACACACACGCACACACGCACGCACACACGCACACACACACACGCACACACACACAGTAAGAGAGAGAGAGAGAGAGGAGTCTTTGTGAATGTGCTAAAGAGTTCTAAAGAGAATCACTTCCTTGCTTAAACACAGATGGATTGTTTCCATGAGCCACCCGCACTGTGACCTGTACTTAAATCTATTGCTGTCCAATACAATTCCTTTGTGGCTACAGCTTCCCTTTAAACACAGATCACAGGTCCTGTCACCTGTTTTTGAAGAAATGAAAGCAGAGGGAGCCTTGGAGTAACTGTATCAATCAATATGTCAATACCGATCAGTATGCATCACTCGTCTGCACCATTCCCTATATTTATCCTGGCTGCACGCCACTACTCTACACTGTTACTCATCCTGATACAACCGTATCCATCACATTTCTCCATACTGTAAACACACACACATACACACAGGGTGATTTCAAGGTCTAGCTTAGCCTTTTGGCTGTAATAAATTTGAGGAGACACCAGAGTTAATCTGCTCTATTTGTCACTGGTTTCCTTTGGTTTCATGCATCATGTCACCTTTATTACAGGAATGCACTAGAGCAACACGCCAGACTTGATCTAAAGTGAGTAAGTAAGTAAAAGGCAGGTCTAACTGACCTTACTGTAAAAGCAACATTAGCCATGCATTTAACTAAAAAAAAAAAAATAGAGGTACTTTAAACTTAATGCATCCGTGATATCATTTTTCATCAGTATATTCTCTGCTAAAGTCTGAGTATGAATGATTTATCAGGACGACCTGAAGGCTTCACCTTCCTCTGCAGCAAGCTCTAATTACAGAGCACTTCAGAAACATCGCTGACCCTCATTTAGCATGGCACCATGTCACGTGTTAGCAGAATCATCAATTACAATACCGCATTAGTCTCAGTGGCTTGCTTGTGGGGAGACTTAATCTATACTCTTCCTCACAGCAGAGAGGAGGAGTTTGTTAATACATGCCTTTCATTAAGGAAACAGTTCTTTCCCCCCCTACAATAAAATATACTTTAAATTTCTCTGAGGAAATAATATTCTAATTCCAAATAATTCACATTCCAAACAAGAAAAATACTAAATCATTACATAATAAGATTGTGTCATGTTTCAGCTGTTTAGTTCTGTATTTATGTTGTTCAGTAAAAATATGCAATATTTTGTCATTCATTCCTCCTTCACCTGTTGTTTCTATTTCTGTTTCCTCACTTGTTTGATTGTATTGCCCACCCTGAATTTTCCATTTTCTCCAATTAAACTCCCAAAATTTAGCACGTCTTTCTTTTTTGTACCAATTCGTTTTCTAATCCCTTGCTCCTTGTGTGGATGTTTCAACATTGCTCTATTTGTGTTTTTATCCTTTTTGCTGGACCTTGTTGTTTTGTTGATTTTTATCTTAGTATTTTTTCATCCTTGCTTTGGACTTTGATACAGTAACTTCTGCTTTTGCTTTTTTTAATCTTTATTTTTATGAAATTTACATTAAA